TTTTGGTTTTGAATTTTAGGCGAATGCGCCAAGGTACAGCTGATGAACCTTAATTAATTGGTGCAAGACGCCAGAGAGGTAAGAAGGTAGGTAGGTAGGTAGGTAGGTAGGTAGGTAGGTAGGTGGCTGCGCGGTCGGCCAATTTAGCAGTAGTAGAGACCGCCGAAAGGCATGCCGAGACCGCAGCTGCCGCCGTAGAGACCCGCGCCGAACATGTTCCAGTAGCCCATGGGGTAGGCCCAGCCAGGGACGCCGCCGCACATGAACCCGAAGCGGTAGGGTCCGTAGCCACCCCAGCCACCCCAGTTGCCCCAGCCGCCGCCGAGACCCCAGCCAGCGCCAAGACCCAGACCCCAGCCGCCGTACTGCTCCTTCTTGTCGGCGTCACCATCGTGCTTGTTGTCAGCTTCCTTGGCGGCGATCGCGGCGGCGGCACCCGCAGGCGGGTCGATCTTCTCACTAGTGCCCATGAGCGTGACACCATCGGGCAACTCGGACGCTTCAAGCATCTGGAGCGCTTCGGCGGCGGATTTGACGGCCGGCAGATTGCCGGCAGCAGCAGGTTGGGCGGCGGCGGCGACGACACCAACGACGGCAAGAGCGGCAACGAGGAAGGTGCTGAACTTCATGGCTGTGATGCGGTGCGGTTCGGCGCTGAATTCGGAGATCGGGTGGTACTCGACTTGCTCAAGTGGAGGCAGATCGTGTTGTGGGTCCGAAGATGACGGCGAAAAGGCGGGCGCAGTGTTGGAACGAACGAGTCTGCTTCGATCGGGGAGGTTCGTTTGGCAAAGTCGCCGAATTTGCGGGCGAATTCTCGCGGCGATGAAGTAAGTGGTAGTGATTGATGCGCTTCTTGTCGGCGCGCCTCAATCGCTGCCAAACGGCAAATACAGTAGCGCCAACGGCTCCGAAATATGGTTCATACAAAAGCACAATTGTGGCAGTTTATTCGGAAAAAGTAAACCTAAAACCGAGTGGACGTAGGTACTACTGTAGTAGCATGCTGCTAGGCTAGCACAAGCACAACAGGTGAACTTAAATACATGTCTTACTGCCCGGCATTTTAACAAATGCTGAACATTGGTGTGGAAAAGGAAACTGATACCGACAGATTTTTGTTGGATTAGTTAAATTAGTTGGATATCTGGATGGAACATTTCAGGATTTCTAGGAGTCTAGATACTATACCAGACACCGAACAGATACAGAATCCCCAGCCAAACGAACTACAGCCGATCGCCGAAGCCACGCTTCCGATAACATTGCACAATCTGGCTCAAGACGCACAAACTCACGAAAACCCCGCTTCAAAAAGGAGAAAGCATTATATTTTGGTTTTGAATTCTAGGCGAATGCGCCAAGGTACAGCTGATGAACCTTAATTAATTGGTGCAAGACGCCAGAGAGGTAAGAAGGTAGGTAGGTAGGTAGGTAGGTAGGTAGGTAGGTAGGTAGGTAGGTAGGTAGGTAGGTAGGTAGGTAGGTGGCTGCGCGGTCGGCCAATTTAGCAGTAGTAGAGACCGCCGAAAGGCATGCCGAGACCGCAGCTGCCGCCGTAGAGACCCGCGCCGAACATGTTCCAGTAGCCCATGGGGTAGGCCCAGCCAGGGACGCCGCCGCACATGAACCCGAAGCGGTAGGGTCCGTAGCCACCCCAGCCACCCCAGTTGCCCCAGCCGCCGCCGAGACCCCAGCCAGCGCCAAGACCCAGACCCCAGCCGCCGTACTGCTCCTTCTTGTCGGCGTCACCATCGTGCTTGTTGTCAGCTTCCTTGGCGGCGATCGCGGCGGCGGCACCCGCAGGCGGGTCGATCTTCTCACTAGTGCCCATGAGCGTGACACCATCGGGCAACTCGGACGCTTCAAGCATCTGGAGCGCTTCGGCGGCGGATTTGACGGCCGGCAGATTGCCGGCAGCAGCAGGTTGGGCGGCGGCGGCGACGACACCAACGACGGCAAGAGCGGCAACGAGGAAGGTGCTGAACTTCATGGCTGTGATGCGGTGCGGTTCGGCGCTGAATTCGGAGATCGGGTGGTACTCGACTTGCTCAAGTGGAGGCAGATCGTGTTGTGGGTCCGAAGATGACGGCGAAAAGGCGGGCGCAGTGTTGGAACGAACGAGTCTGCTTCGATCGGGGAGGTTCGTTTGGCAAAGTCGCCGAATTTGCGGGCGAATTCTCGCGGCGATGAAGTAAGTGGTAGTGATTGATGCGCTTCTTGTCGGCGCGCCTCAATCGCTGCCAAACGGCAAATACAGTAGCGCCAACGTCTTCGGCGATCGGTTGCAGTTCGTTTGGCTGGGGATTCTGTATGTATTCGGTGTCTGGTATGGTAGCTAGAAGCCTAGAAGTCCTGAAATTATCCATCCAGATATTCGCAGTTCGTAAGAACTGTCGTTACTACCTGTTTGATGTCAGATACCGGTATCGCCAGAATTTTTTTTTTTAAGTTTTGCATTGAAATAAAATATCTTGAGGTTCGTATGCTTTCGAATGACTTACCGTTGTATAGGGTCGATTTATCTAAGCATTGGTATGCGGAATAACTAGTGTTGGACACATAACTCAGGGGAGTCCCGTGAGGTAAAGGTATAGGCCAGAAGATGGAGGTATAGACCATGATGTTCCCGATCCGAGCGGGGCCGGCTCACTTAATACCATTTTAGAATTTGCTGAACAGGAGGCAGCAGCTAGAAAAGGCCAATCGGGCCACAACTACGTGCAGCACCAATGTGTTCGTCTGCAATTGCCGCGGTCTTGACCTAACAAGCATTAAGCTCTGACAATATTAGCGAAGTTGTCGATACTCTGTATCACGATTTCAAGGACGACCCAAAGGACAAGTCTCATTGGAAGGGTCTACAAGCAGGTGCGTAAAGGCGTCCGACTGCAAGATAATCTACTCGCTGCGAACCTGGATCCTGTGCAGGCGCATCTTGTGACCGAACCCGAAGAACGCAAGACAATCTCGATATATGCTAGAGCGTTCAAGTAAGCTCAGAGAAGATATTTATTACTGCGACAGGTGCGCCGCAAGTGAGGCGCGCCCAAGTCGCTTGTGATTTTTTTTCATTTGGCAAATAAAGAAATCAAATTGCCCCACATGCTTGTTGGTGTGATGATCATCAAGTACATCTCGACTACGATTGCAACAGACAATTGAATCCGCGTTGAACAGCTCGATGTAATGTCGAATCCAAGCCTCGACACGAGCTGGTAAGCTTACTGAGAGAAAAACAAATGTTGTAATCCCAAGTGTGCGGCCAGTGACTCCGATAAATTCAGCATTAAGTAAAGACTACGCGTCAAGAACCAATAGCTAACCGAGAGATGGACAAGTACTGCGTGGGGCTGTTCGGAGGTTATGTAGCATTTAGAGAGATAAACCGGAAGTTCCGGTTTATCCGGTCGGGGACATGTCTTCAGCTGGTCGAGTTAAATTTCTGTCCTTCATTTTTATCACTGGTGTGCTTAGCAACAAGTTGAGCTTCTTGCTGCGGTGGTCATTTTTTTTTAATCCCGCGTCTTGATAATTAGGGCCTTTGGTCATATTTCATTCGAACAGGGTTTTAGAATATGCTTACGTCTTCACTGTTTTTAATGTAGCTTTGTGGGGAGAGAGAATTTGAAAAAAGTACATTTAACCTTTCTTACTTAGGCTCCTGGGCGTATACTCGCTTACTGTGGCTAGCACACAATACTCCACAACTACGGTAAACGCAACTAATACACCACAATTAACCTTTCTTACGAACTACGACCCTCCCCCCGGGACCAACGGGCTTGGCTCTGGGCCCGGGTAACCAGTCCAACTAATCCAGCAAAAATCCCACGAAACTGTCGGTCTACATCAATGTTCAGCATTTGAGACGGCGGCTGACACAATGATACTTATCCACCTTATAGAGTTATCGAGATAATCGCGTTTTAAGTTGCCCTATCAATTTTCGAACATAACCGGACATCACAATTTTGAAAGTGAAAATCACTCGTAGAATAAGTTAAAATATTTCGGCTCGATTATCATTAACTCAAGCATTCCAAAAATGTACAAAAAGCCAAAATTGAAGAAAAATTGAGCTCACACGCCCCAAATAATATCAGGGATTTTGGGGGTCCGAAAAAGGAAATATTTTTTCGGACCGGCGTCACTTGTTGAGTTCTCAACATTTGTAAGCCGTTAGTAGCTTAAAAGAAGCACAAGACATAGCTATATCGATTTATGTGGTTAACCCCTTGAACGCGAGAGCCTGTATTAGACACGATTACAAAAAATGCTTATCTTGTATTAGACACGATAAGGATTTTATCTTGTTTTAGGTATGAACATACAAATTTTAAGTCAAAAAGGGTTCGGGGAGCCGGATAGACTCCCCCACCCCCGAGTGCTGAAAAATACAGTCAAACCTGTTTATATGATCCTCTCTATTTGAGCCATGCCGTTTATTTGATGCAGGCTTTGTCGCTACCAAATATTTCACTTAGTTTTTGTATGATCTCTGTTTATATGCATACAAGGTATATGAGTCACATTTTTTGGGACCAAATTAGGTCTCACCTGTTTATTTGATTCACACTGCTCACGGCCACACACTCTTCAAAGCACCACTGCTCAATACTCAACGCCTACCGCAAGCCTTCTTGGCTCGCCATGTCTCCTCGCACCTGTCTGACGCTAGAACAAAAGCTCCAAGTGCACCTAAAGCTCAAGCAGAATCCTGGCATGAACAACCCCATGCTCGCCGAGTGGATCTACGCAACCTGCAAGGCCCGGGCCAGCCGTGCCACACTCGCGCGACTGCGCAACCTGCCTTCTTCCTACTTCAGCCACGTCGACCTGAGTGCGACCAAGCGGCGGCGAGTGAAATTCCCTCCGTTCGAGCGGGAACTGAGGGAATTTTTCTTTCAGAACGAAGCAAAACGGCGATGGCGGACGACGTGCTCCTGCTGAAGGCGCATGAGCTGGCGGAGCGCTTAGGCATCGATGCAACGCAGCTCCGACTCAGCAACGGCTGGCTTCCAAGCTTTAAGAAGCGCAATGGGATCCGCTCCCATACGCTACACGGCGAAGGTGGCGCTGTAGAAGCTGATGAAGTGCGAGATGCGAGGCTAGAGCTACAAGAGTTGGTGGCGCAGTTTACACCCGAGAATGTGTTCAACTTCGACGAAACGGCGTTTTTCTATCGCTTAGCGCCTAATCGAACGCTAGCTACGACTATTCGCAAGGGCAAGAAAAAGGAGAAGCAACGTTTGACTTTGGCCTTCTGCTGCAACGCGACTGGCTCCGACAAGCTCGACCCAATAGTCATCGGTACGGCCAAGAACCCGAGGTGCTTTAAAAAGGGAGCGGCGATTAAAGGTAAACCTATATTATACAAGTCCTCCAAGAACGCCTGGATGACATCCGTCATTTTTGACGAATGGCTGCACCTCTTCAACATGAGAATGGCGGCCGCCAATCGCAAGGTCCTACTTCTAGTCGACAATGTTTCATGCCAAAAGCTTCTACGAAACCTGACTCATGTGACTGTTCACTTCCTCCCTCCTAACATGACATCCGCCGTACAGCCGCTGGATGCAGGTAAATATTTTATCTATATTGTGGTGTAGCCTAAACGAACCAACTCTATTACGGTGTTTTTTTTATTCAGGTATTATCGGGTCGTTCAAGGCTCGGTAGCGAAAGTATTTTGGGCGGTGGTGTTTGGATGCACTTGAAGCTAACATTACACGCAAGCTCAACGTACTGGAAGCTGTCCAATTGTCCATTGATGCTTGGGCGGGTGTGACGCCAACGACAATTACAAATTGCTGGGTCAAGACTCGCATTTTGGGAGGAAAGATGCTAGGAAGGACCCGTGCTGACACGGATTACATTGAGGAGGTATCCAGCAACGAGATGGAGGAGTTAACGGCGATGCTATCGAGGTGGGAGGGCGCTGTTAGCGCTAGTGAGTATCTGGCAGTGGACGTAGACGTTCCTGTGCACGAGCCAGATGTGCTAGTGGACGAAGCGGCAGGAAGTGATGCAGTTTCGCAGGACGAGCAGGAGGAAGAGGAGGAACAGGAACCCGCAGTTCAACCTGCCATTGCTCTGAGACACTGCATGGAGCTGGCTGCATTTCTGCTGCAATGCGGAGAGCAGAGTGACAGAGAACGAAGAGCTTTACAGACCGTGACCGCTTTGGTTCGAGAGACTACGGTGAAGGCAAAGCGGCAGCGAACTATGCACGATTTCTTTACGTGCACCACATATTTTTTTAACTGAGTCCATTTTATATGAGTCATTGTAGTAGATGGTCACCAACAGGGCCTCATATAAACAGGTTTGACTGTACCACTAAAGTGTCTCAAAATAAGACAGTGCATGAGGTAGACCACACGATATTTAGAATCACCGACGCCACTCGTTCAATCTCATTCCAGAACTTGCCGACCAAGAACAACGACCAGATTTACTGCGCGCTGGATTGATCTAACCCAGCAATGGGGGAAATCTAAGAGCAAGACTCCACTCTCACGTGCGCCGCGAAAGACCCAGAGGGGGTATGAAGGAACCGGCTGCTTCGTCGGAGCTGAGGGACCGATGTTCCGACTAGTCACGCTTGACTAGGTAAGTGATTGCGATGTTTGTAATACTGCTGGCATTTTGCTAACATGCGTAAATGATGCAGAAGAGTAGTAACAATCTTCGACAGCTCCGTTGCACTGAAGCTGCTGCCACAACAGTACCGGAAACCGCGGATCGACAGAAAACGGTGAGCAATGACATCTTGTATTCTTCACGTTATGTTTGTGTCTAATCGTGTATGTACATGCTACTAATGCAGCCGCGAGTGCTTCGACCGACGTCACAGCAGCTTCCGTAGCGCCAAGCTGGTCTCAGCGCACCAGCTCTCCGGGCTGCGGTTTGATTAGCTGAGGATGCTGATAGCGAAGGAAAAGGTGCGGTTCATTGCTATAACTACTATCTACGCCACTCACTTAGCTAATTTCAAAAAAAAATGTTGCTATTGCAGTTGATAGAGCTTCGCTCGGTGCCAAGGCTGTCTGCCGCAGCCTGCGAAACGTAAGCCAAAGGACTTCTGGCTTTTGTTCGGCGACAACAGTGCGGGAAGATGTGGATAAAGGTGCCCCTCAAGGCTATTGTGTGCTATTCAAATTACTCTTGTGTCTAATCGTGTATATACGTGCTTCGACTATAGTTGCTAGAGCTTCGACTGGTGCTGGGCCACGTGCCGGGTTGACGCGGGCTTTCTCAACCCTTCGGTCTATCCGCGCATCCAGCTCCCTACGAGCAACGTTTCCAGCAAGCTACATACCAGGGCAAGGCACGTCATTCAGCGAGTCCCACTTCATGCAATGTTGCGGTCAAAGTTATCGCCCAATTAATTGCGCGTATATGTCAATAATAAACCATATAAATGAAGGATGATGATGTTTAAACGTTGTTGTTCCCAGTCGTCCTATGTCATGTGCTGAATAGCTAGTGTGCTTTGTAGCACGCTCAATCTTGTTTTGGTCGCAAAGTTATCTTAACGTGTCTGATACAAGCTATCAACATCGTTATCCCGTATGTATAGATCTGAAGTATACTAGCAAGCGTCATACCAGTGTTGTTGGACCATCATAACCGAATCGGTAGTGACTGTTCTGAGCAGAGCGAGAACAAACAAGTGGAATGGAGACGCCACCGTGTGACCAAAGTGTCCTTCGTGTGGAAGAAAACTAGGGTCTGGAAGGACAGTGAAACGACGTTCTATCACAGCGCAGCGAGGGCCGGGGCGGCTCAAAGAAGGCCATAGTTTTTTTGCGTTGACTTGTGTGCCAAGGCAACAGCGAGTCTATTTCCTGCTACAAGCCCTCACTTCGGCACAGGTGAATGATATTATGTTGTCGTCATCGCAGTAGAAGATGGTTTCATGCGTGGAGGACCACAGTCGGCGCCAGCAGAGATACGGAGGGGCGGGGAAGAGGAGATAACAGCGAGGGCGACGATGCCCACCAGTCTAAGCGACGACAGCGTGACGATTGAAGGCTGATAGATGCAAGACACAAGGTGCAGAGCTTATATCTTAGTTGAGGTATGGTATACACGCGCTCTTTTTTTATAACAAAGTTGCATTTTTCTGTCAAAAGGCGGTCATGTCTTTGATCTATACCATACAAGTTAGACACTTTTCCTGTATCTAAACCGCCCTCTTATCATGGCTCATACAGGATAAATATTTTTCACCATCTTAGGTGTAGGGCTTTCGTGCGACTTTCCATATACATGATATAAAATCATACTAAGTTCACTATTGTACCCCTTCCCCATTATACAGGATAACTGCCCTAGGGTTTAGTGAAATGGGCGCGCTGGAAATCGCGTTCAAGGGGTTAATTCGCGATTCGTACTTAGGTTGATTAGTAACTGGGTGTTTGCCGCAGTCTCATTTGTTAAAATGCCGGGCAGCAAGGCATTTATGAAAGTTCACCTGTTGTAGCCTAGCAGCATGCTACTACAGTAGTACCTACGTCCACTCGGTTTTAGGTTTACTTTTCCGAATAAACTGCCACAATTGTGCTTTTGTATGAACCATATTTCGGAGCCGTTGGCGCTACTGTATTTGCCGTTTGGCAGCGATTGAGGCGCGCCGACAAGAAGCGCATCAATCACTACCACTTACTTCATCGCCGCGAGAATTCGCCCGCAAATTCGGCGACTTTGCCAAACGAACCTCCCCGATCGAAGCAGACTCGTTCGTTCCAACACTGCGCCCGCCTTTTCGCCGTCATCTTCGGACCCACAACACGATCTGCCTCCACTTGAGCAAGTCGAGTACCACCCGATCTCCGAATTCAGCGCCGAACCGCACCGCATCACAGCCATGAAGTTCAGCACCTTCCTCGTTGCCGCTCTTGCCGTCGTTGGTGTCGTCGCCGCCGCCGCCCAACCTGCTGCTGCCGGCAATCTGCCGGCCATCAAATCCGCCGCCGAAGCGCTCCAGAAGCTTGAAGCGTCCGAGTTGCCCGATGGTGTCACGCTCATGGGCACTAGTGAGAAGATCGACCCGCCTGCGGGTGCCGCCGCCGCGATCGCCGCCAAGGAAGCTGACAACAAGCACGATGGTGACGCCGACAAGAAGGAGCAGTACGGCGGCTGGGGTCTGGGTCTTGGCGCTGGCTGGGGTCTCGGCGGCGGCTGGGGCAACTGGGGTGGCTGGGGTGGCTACGGACCCTACCGCTTCGGGTTCATGTGCGGCGGCGTCCCTGGCTGGGCCTACCCCATGGGCTACTGGAACATGTTCGGCGCGGGTCTCTACGGCGGCAGCTGCGGTCTCGGCATGCCTTTCGGCGGTCTCTACTACTGCTAAATTGGCCGACCGCGCAGCCACCTACCTACCTACCTACCTACCTACCTACCTACCTTCTTACCTCTCTGGCGTCTTGCACCAATTAATTAAGGTTCATCAGCTGTACCTTGGCGCATTCGCCTAGAATTCAAAACCAAAATATAATGCTTTCTCCTTTTTGAAGCGGGGTTTTCGTGAGTTTGTGCGTCTTGAGCCAGATTGTGCAATGTTATCGGCAGCGTGGCTTCGGCGATCGGCTGTAGTTCGTTTGGCTGGGGATTCTGTATCTGTTCGGTGTCTGGTATAGTATCTAGACTCCTAGAAATCCTGAAATGTTCCATCCAGATATCCAACTAATCCAACTAATCCAACAAAAATCTGTCGGTATCAGTTTCCTTTTCCACACCAATGTTCAGCATTTGTTAAAATGCCGGGCAGTAAGACATGTATTTAAGTTCACCTGTTGTGCTTGTGCTAGCCTAGCAGCATGCTACTACAGTAGTACCTACGTCCACTCGGTTTTAGGTTTACTTTTTCCGAATAAACTGCCACAATTGTGCTTTTGTATGAACCATATTTCGGAGCCGTTGGCGCTACTGTATTCGCCGTTTGGCAGCGATTGAGGCGCGCCGACAAGAAGCGCATCAATCACTACCACTTACTTCATCGCCGCGAGAATTCGCCCGCAAATTCGGCGACTTTGCCAAACGAACCTCCCCGATCGAAGCAGACTCGTTCGTTCCAACACTGCGCCCGCCTTTTCGCCGTCATCTTCGGACCCACAACACGATCTGCCTCCACTTGAGCAAGTCGAGTACCACCCGATCTCCGAATTCAGCGCCGAACCGCACCGCATCACAGCCATGAAGTTCAGCACCTTCCTCGTTGCCGCTCTTGCCGTCGTTGGTGTCGTCGCCGCCGCCGCCCAACCTGCTGCTGCCGGCAATCTGCCGGCCGTCAAATCCGCCGCCGAAGCGCTCCAGATGCTTGAAGCGTCCGAGTTGCCCGATGGTGTCACGCTCATGGGCACTAGTGAGAAGATCGACCCGCCTGCGGGTGCCGCCGCCGCGATCGCCGCCAAGGAAGCTGACAAAAAGCACGATGGTGACGCCGACAAGAAGGAGCAGTACGGCGGCTGGGGTCTGGGTCTTGGCGCTGGCTGGGGTCTCGGCGGCGGCTGGGGCAACTGGGGTGGCTGGGGTGGCTACGGACCCTACCGCTTCGGGTTCATGTGCGGCGGCGTCCCTGGCTGGGCCTACCCCATGGGCTACTGGAACATGTTCGGCGCGGGTCTCTACGGCGGCAGCTGCGGTCTCGGCATGCCTTTCGGTGGTCTCTACTACTGCTAAATTGGCCGACCGCGCAGCCACCTACCTACCTACCTACCTACCTTCTTACCTCTCTGGCGTCTTGCACCAATTAATTAAGGTTCATCAGCTGTACCTTGGCGCATTCGCCTAGAATTCAAAACCAAAATATAATGCTTTCTCCTTTTTGAAGCGGGGTTTTCGTGAGTTTGTGCGTCTTGAGCCAGATTGTGCAAATGTAGCGGAACGACGGCACCGCAACCTTGGCGCTGTTAACATGTCGATTCGGTTGTACATCGCTGCTGGAATTCTTTTGTGTCGGGCGTCTGCCGTTTGTCTAGAGCTGTTTTTCTGTGGTCCTAGATATACTGAAAGTATCCATCTAGCTATCTTGAAATGAATCAATCACGACACTGTCGGTACCAGCTTACTTTTCCGCATCGGGTTTCCGCATTCGAAATGTCGGACAGGGGCAATGGCTCGCTATCCCTGGCAGAATGCTACGTTCACGCGTTAGCATAGTATTTTTTATACCGTAGAGCTGTCCACTGAGGTTTGATTCGTATGGATTGCGAGGCCTATCAACACCTGACGAGCTATCGAACCGACGGTACCTTTTTAATCGGGTGATGCCAACGAATAGCATACTTTCGTATGACAACTGTACATCTACCTCGAAATCGTGCAATCTGGCATTTACTGTAACGTCAAAAGTGTGTGTTCTTTCCATTTAGCTTTGACCCCAGGCGCGGGCCAGCGATTATATCGGGAAATGGTCACTTCCGGGCTCCGGGAAACCCCTGTGTCGATAAAACACTTTGCGGACTGCGGGGGTAGCTGCAAACGCAAATATCAACTCGGTTGTATGCCTAGCCAGCTCGTAGAAACAACGCGAGCTCCCGAGTACGCTTGGATATGCTGGTACTTCGGTCTTGGCGGCTTGGAGGTGTCATCACGCTGATAAAGCCGAGCGTCGCTTTCAAAGGCAACGCTTCTCGGATAACCGGCAGCTTCTGAAGATGGAACTTCTTGAACAGCAATGCTAATGCTGCTTGATACTGGGTGAGCTCGAAGTCCGACACCACGACATCAAGGTACTCCACCGTGCGGTTTCGTTCAAGCATGTGTAGCAGTGCTACACAAAACTCCTGGAATGACAGTGCGCCGGTACCATTACCGTCAGTTCCGATATGAACGCGCACACGCCTCACCGAACTAGCTAATGAGGACGGAGGCGCACAGAATAACATGACGAGATCGCTAGTGTCTCCCAAAGAGGCTGGCGCCTGTGGGTGCAACGTTATCTGGTTCCGTAATCTGCTGCCACGAACTTCAAATCGAATCTTGGAAGCAGGCGTCGAGATGGCAATTTCTCTCAACTGCGGGCAGTTGGCAGCAATTCTCTCCAGCATGGATGTGCGAAAGTTCGACGCTTGGATGGATAAATACGCCAGCGAGGATCCAATCATTTCCAGAAATCGGCACAAAACGTCGTCATTCGGATCGGTCTTGAACACAAGCATCAGCGTCGAAATGCCGGTAGCAAGTGTGCCATCCATCAGGTAGATTCTCCTCTTGAACGAGATTAGATCGGCGAGTTTGGCACTTCCCAAACCCAGGTACCAGCACATCGACCCACCCATTCTCAGCTTTATCCGCCAGGAGCTTGACACCACGAATCTCTCTGGCAACTGTGGAGGCCGCGTTTTTCTCGAGGATTTCACTCGTGCTCATGGGTTGTAGTCGAATACGTGTCTTTGGCTTGATGGAATAGCTAATCCGTGCCTGCTGCAGGTGTGGCAAACCCAGCAGGTCTTCTTCCGGATAGTTTGACGCCATAACCTCTCGCATCGCGTCCACATCTTGTCCAGTAAGAGCCACATCTTGAAGTGTAAGTGTCTTGAGGCATGACAGGCGCTGTGCTCGCTTAGAAAAGAATCCGTAGCGAATCCACCGCCACCTCCACGTGGCGACTTCCCCGTTGTCCTCTCTCCTGCTTGAAAGCGATACGTGGTTCGTGGTTTGGTTCACAACTGCTCCAGAGCACGCACGCTCGAATAACCATGCTCGAAACGGGAGGCATAATATGTTGACTGAGCCCAGGCTGCGTGGATGGGGAGTTGTCGAGGCACTAGCGCGTGGGCCAGTCATTACTCGTCTTCCATCATCTCCCAAGGATCCACTGAACAAGCTCGTAACGAATTTACCCACCGTCTTCCGCGCCGGGCCTCGTTTTGCGGGGGTATATAAAGTGTCATCAACCTCGGACCAAAAGCTCAGTCCCGAGCAGTAAACACCGTCATGAGCGATAGCCTCCACCAACGCTGTTACGTCCGACTTAATTAGCACTGCTCCGAGGTCCACTCGAAGTGATTCCAGCACAAACGTGACCCTGGGGAGGCCGGTCCTGCCTCTCCTCGGAGGCCACGTCTGGTCTCGGAGGTGGCGAATCGCCCTCAGCACATTCTGCGCGTACTTGACCAGGCCCCCTCCCGGTCTGTCCAAATGGGTCGAGCACACTTGGGTTGTGATCGGAACTTCAATTTCATCTGGAACGGCTCCTAGCTCTCGTTTCCTCCTCCAAATTTCGACGATCTTCTTCAACGCCGCCTCGTATCCCCTGCTGGGTCGGCCATGTTGCTCGACCCCGCAGAAAAACACCAAGTCGCCACTGAGTGCGAGCTCGGGACCCGAGTTGTGCACGGCAATACCGAGTAGTCTGCTGCTATCGTCGTCTGTAGGACGGCGTCTCCCGTAGGGTAACTCCAGTAGAAAGCGGGTGGGGGATCCGTCGAACTCCTCTGAGACGGCGAATCCTCGAGCCAGCACACCTGTCTGCACCAGTAGTTTCCTCCACGTCTCATTGTCCACCAAGGACACGACCGAGAGCAGCTTGAGCGCCTCTCGCAGCTTGAACCTCTGACTTTGGATCTCTTGCTGCGCCTCCTCTTCCGGCTGACTGACGGAAATTTTCCGAGGGGCTTGGATTTTTAGGCCGCGGTGGGATTGGAAAGGGGGGTCCTCGCGCTTACCCTCGCACAAGCTCACAGCGCCCCTGATGTGGTCGCACCATGGCAGTGTGAGCTTGTGTATTTACTATAACCATACAGGTAAGGCGCAGATTGCTGGGCAGAAGCCGAGCAGGAGGGCACGGATCGAAGTGCCGTGCGGCGACGGCAGTGCCCTCCACAAGTGTATTACAGTGAGAATGGTTGGCTTAGATCTACTCTGTTCTATCCTACGATGTGCAGGCAGCCGCGCTTCGGGCCGCGACTCTGGCGAGTCAGCATGCATATGTGAGATCGGGAAATGACTGACTTCCGGCCGAGGTCTAACTGCCTTGAGCTTGCGAGTGATGGCTGACCGAGGGCTCGGATTGGTCGGTCACATTCCCCGCGCTTTAGTGCCCAGAAGATTGATAGAGACTACGGAGTGACAGGAGGGTCTCGGCGGGTCAAAATAAACCGCCTGCCGAGGCCTCCGAAGTTTCATAGTGGGTACACTTTATGCCCAGTAGGAGTTCGGATTTAGGACGAAGTTTCGTCCGGTTGTAGATCAGCTCGAAAGCTCGGTCCACACTTGATATTTGTATAGACCTTACGGATTAGCTATAGGAGAGGCCTGACAGCCTCTAATCATTAAACAGAGCAGAATTTCCCCCCCAAGCCACACAAGGGTCAAGTCCGTCTACGGTAAGTCGCTAAGCTTAGCGTAGGGTCTGATACACTCGGCTGCACGGGGTATGTCTGCCGGTGAGCATAAGGTGCATTGACCGAGTGTTCATCCTGGTAAGGCCAAGAGTGAGTAGGTGGCCGAGTGTCGGGAGGTATTAGAGACCTCTGTGTACAGTTGTACGTTTGACTGGGTGTGAGGCAAGGACCCCCCAGTGTATTTGACTTCTAGCCGAGGCTTCGCCCCGGCGCCCCTGTAAGAGGCTTCGATTGGCCTGATACCCTTCCTTTCTGAGGGACCACAGAGGTTTAGTGCGAAAGCACGTATTACACATTGCATCCTAGCCGTAGCTTGTGGCTAAGGGTTCTCTTATATTTTAACGAAGGGTAAACCTACCTGACCCGCAACACACAGGGGACCCATTCCAGCCCGTATAAGGGATCGGACCTGGTCTTCCGGTTTATTATCCCGACAATCTATCGCCGACTCTTCGGAGACGGCGTGTGTTGTTGTTAGGGCTCGTCCTATAGACTTCGGTTGATAGGGCGAGGACTCGTAAACTCGTGTTTTCCTACACGACACATACTTCACACTTCCACTCGACCAAGGCTGCTTCATCAGCTTAGATGACCAACCTTGGTCGTCACATACTCACAGTAGTACTGCCAGCTATTGTCAGTACGCTTCTGTCCAGTAGGGCAGCGCATACCCAGGCAGGTTGTCCTTCTTGATAGACGTAGGCAGCGGGCCTTGGCGAACAGTCCTCATCACTGTGGCTCCCACTTAACCTCCACTTTCCTCTGTTGAAGATCTCTTGCTGTCTGGGATTGAAAGCACTTTTAGCAGTTCTCGGCAGTGCTCGAACTTGGAACGCCCAAGTGCCTTGGTCATCACGTCAGCAATCATGTCATTCGTACCAACATGCTGGGTTGTAAGGCGCTTTGCCTCCACAAGGTGCCGCACCAAGTGATACTTGTTCTTGATATGCTTCGTCTTTGAGTGCTTTCCGGGCTTAGCAGCCAGGTAAATGCTGCCTCGATTGTCACCGTAGAGTACAGGCCCTTCAACCTCCCAGTTCAACTCCAGGCACAGGCCCAACATCCACAGCAAGTCCTTTGTGCCCTCGTTCATCGCCACGTACTCCGCTTCGGTAGTACTTTGGGCATTGATTTCTTGTTTTCGAGACGCGTACGAAACCACGTTGTCATCTAGCATAGTCACATATCCGCTGATACTCTTGCGGTCGTCAACATCGTTCGCGTAGTCAGCATCCGTAAAGCAGGTCACAGTAACCCTTGATCCGGCTCCAATTGTGTTGACTAGCCCGTAGTCGACGGTGTTGGCTAAGTACCGCAGCACTCGCTTCGCCATGAAGTAGTGCTCGTAAGTGTAGTTGCTCAGATACTTGTCCAGGTTCCACACCGCGTGGGCAATGTCCGGCCTTGACGCCGAAACCAGGTACTGGAGAGCTCTCACTAGATCACGGTACGGGAGGTATGATTTATCAACAGGAGCTCGTAACTGCTGCGGTGTTGTTGCTTCTGGTGTCGCGCAGCCGTTGCACGACACCATGTTGAATCGCTTCAGGATGTCTTTGACGTGCTGGCGTTGGCAGTACACTACTTCCTTACGTAGGGGGTCAATTAGGATCTCTACACTGAGTAGATACTTGACGGGGCCCAATTCTGTCAGCTCACGACGCTGCGGCACAGATCAGGTGGCCCAAGCAGTAGGACATCATCAACGTACACCGTCAACAGCATACAGATTTCACCACTTTCTCCCACTTTTCGTGCGTAAAGGCCGTAGTCAGAGTCAAGCCTAGAGAACCCGAGACGCTCCAGCGCTTTGTGCAGCGTCCGGTTCCATACATTAGGCGCTTGACGCAAGCCGTACAAACTCCGTGGGGGGCGACACACATATGCACTGGAAACCTGCGGGTTGCTCCATGAATATCACTTCGTCCAGGTGGCCATAGAGGTAGGCCGTCTTCACGTCGCATTGCAAGATGACCCAGCCACGCTGAAGTGCAAAGTAGATGGCGGCACGGATCGTCGCGAACCTAATTACAGGCGCGTACGTCTCCGTGTACTTCAAGCCAGTCAGCTGCTTGAAGCCGTGGATCACGAGGCATGCCTTATAGCGCTTGATCCGGCCACACTCGTCTCGTTTTACTGCATAAACCCAGCGACAAGTGATTGCTTTGCGTCCACGCATCTCGCGGCGACGCACCAGCCGCCAGGTGCCATGAGCCTTGAGCGATGCAAGTTCCTCAAGCATAGCTTCTCTCCACTTCTTCCACTGGCGCGATGCCCGTGCTTGCTTGTACGTGGTAGGCACCACAACTTCTTCATGCACATGTACACTATTCACCACGTCAGGTAGTCGAACCGACGGCTTTCGCTGCCGCTTTGGCAACGGCGGTCGTGGTCCACACTCAGCAGCCGTTGACGGGGTCGGCACCCAGTCCTCGTCATCACACGCTGCACGAAGTAATTCTTGTTGTTCATCTGACCGTTTCCGTTTGATGCCACCTGGACTCCGGGGACGCTGGTACCGGCTCTGCAGCAGGAGCATTTCCAGTAGCAGTAGCAGTAGGCTCCTCAACAATCTCAATCTGAGAGGCACGATCGTCCTTGACGTACGTGTCCATGCTTGACTTGATACACACCACTGGAACATCTCTCGACAACTGAAAATCCCCGTGAAAGAACGTGTTGAGCACCAACTGACCCACATAGTCAGACTCAATCGTAAACGCCTCATGGAAGCGGACATTCTCGCCACGCGCTGTGACTACCGCTCCACTCACAACATCCAGAATTTGTAGCCCTTCTTGGTACTGGTATACCCCAGTAAGATGCACGTCCGAGCACGAGTCGCCAACTTTTCTTTTCGCTGACGCGAGAAGTCATTGATATGTACGTGCGCCAGGCATCCCCACGTCGGCAGCGATCGTAGACTTGGTAGGCTTCCGTACAAAACCTCATGGCTGCTGCGGCCTTGCAGCGCACTCGTAGGGCAAACGTTGAGCGTATCAACAGCATGCAAGAGTGCTTCACCCCACAGCGAGTTCGGAAGGCGAGTAGCATCCAGCATCGACCTGACCCGCGACACGATAATTCCATTGTTCCTCTCGACGATCCCGTTCTCTTCAGGGCTATCAGCATGAGTGTAGTTTAGTTCCACACCTTGGTCAGCGCAAAATGCAGTAAAGTCATTGCTGATAAACTCTCCTCCTCCATCGGCGTGGAACAACATCACACTGAGCGGCTAGAACTTCTTCTCCAGCTTCAGGATGAGATGTTTGAGATGGTCACTCGCGTCCGCCTTGGACTTGAGCAAGTACGCCCACTTGTACCTCGAAAATTCATCCATGACCAGCAGGAACATGGTAGACTTGTCTGCGGACACTTCATTGATCGTGCAGTGTCAGCCGACAGTTTCTCCAGCGGCCTGGTCGCACGTCGAGGATTCCTGCTGTAGGTCATCCACTTCATTTTGGACTCAATACATGGAACACACTCATAAAGGCTCAGATCACGCGTGTTCACCTTAATGCCCATGTCCACCTTGCTAGCTACCATCTCCTTGATGGTGTCCATGGCAACATGGTTCAGACGGTTATGGAGCAGCTCCATCACGTTCGAGTCAGTGCTCTGCTTTTGTGCGCTCAGTACGAGCTTGTTGCGGCGCTCCACGCGCATGCGATACAACCCGTCCCGCATCACAAACTTCAGCTGCATTGTCGGCTTCACCAGCCACGTCACCAGCTCATCAGCCGACACAGTCAGCTTGTTGCCACACTCGAACTGCATGTAGGTCTGCGAGATTAGGTTGACCTTGGTGCTCGGCGAGTAGCGCACATTCTCGAGCAAGCGGGTTTCAGTCTTACCCGAGTGCTCGTTCACAACTGGCATGATCACAGCATCTTCAATCTCAACACGGTCAAAACCACCAGTGGCGCCTTCCAACAGCTCCGCCTGCTTCAGGTTCTTGACGTTGTTAAGTAGCGCCAGGTCGCCAGTGACATTGACCTGAGCCCCCGAGTCCAAAATCCACTCAATTTCATTTGCAGGCACCGCGTCGTGCCGTCCACTTCTCACTACCAACACACGCCGTATGGGAAGCAGACCAGTAGCTACATGCAAACTTTCGTCATCATCATCTGGCGGGGACGTCGGAGAATATTCAACAGACTTCTCTTCACGCTGTGTGTCACGAGCCCGGACAAGGCGCTCCTCAAAGTCGCGGCCGACATGCGCTGTCAGCTCATGGCGGGTGTAGATCTTTGAGTAGCTATTCACATCAGCTCGCTGGTGTTCAACACTCAGGGTCACGGGGTGGGTCTCCACAAAATCCACACGGGGGCGGTCCTGCTGCCGATCGCGCTGTGCATCCGCAGGGCAGTCATCATTCTGCTCCTCTTCGATTCGGCGCAGTACAGCACCAGCCATGGTGCGAATCTCTCTTGGATCAGTAGACTTCCGCTCAGGAGACTCCTTCCACCAATGCCCACGCTGATGGCATGCATTACATTCGCTGTTACGTTTCTTCTCAGCAATTTCATCTCGGCGCTTACGCGCAGCCTCATCATCTTGCCGCTTCTTCTTGCCACTGCCGCGTCCACCTCCGCCGTTATAGCGACGCTTGTTGCCGCTCTGCTGCTGTTGCGCACGACCTGACGAGCTGTTGCGCGTGACCAGGTTCACCTGCCGTTGCACTCCTTGCCCTGCGTCGCGGTTCCCGCGGCTGAGCTGGTGCGCTCAGCTACAAGCAAAAGATTGACATCGTCCTGCACGCGCTGGTCCTTGTCATACCCGCCACGCAGGCGGGACACACGCTGCGTGTGGTCGTTGGCGATGGACAGGTAGACCGCCACCGCGGTGGACAGCACAGTGCTGGCCATCTCTCCCTCGGCCAGCGTGATCTCCGTGCGCTCGAGCTCGCGGCGCATCCGCTGCAAGTCGCCGACGTACTCCGTCACTCCCTCGCCTTGGCGAAGGCGGCGCGCATACAGATCCTGTTTTAGGTACACTGCATTGGTTCCCCGTGTGCCGTCGTACGTGCGCAGCAGTGCGGCCCAAACCTGCGCGGGGTTGGCCGTCTCGATGTCGGACTTGAACCGGTCCAAGAGATCCCCGTGTAGCGAGAGCACGATCTCGGTGTGAGCCTTGCGCTCGCGCGTCTAGTAGCACTTCTTCCAGTTCTCATCGCGGCGAGCGCGCTCCTCGTCGAAGCTCTCACGCCCTTGCACTAGTTGCAGCAGCTCCTGCCAGTGGAAGATCGTCTGCATCTCCGTCTTCCACCGGCTCCAGTTCTCGACCCTGCCGTCGAACTTGGTCGACGCCAGCTGAATCTAACCTGCCTGCCAGCCCCCCATTGCGACCAGTTGCTGCGACTTGAAGGGGAGCCAGCCAGCTCCGCTCTCGTATGCGCTGGGAGGAGGCGTGCTCGGGTCGGCCAGAGTGTTCGTGTGCGTGCCATACGGCGTGACCGCGTCCTTGGGCACTGAGACGACGAGCTCAGAGCCCAAGTTTCTTTGTGGCCTGGGAAGGGGAGCGGGCGGAGACTGCCCCGCCTACTGTTCGAGAAGAGGGCCAGCTTGGCCAGCGGCAGGCTGGGCAGCCAAGGCCCTCACTACCGCAGCTGCAATCGTCTGGATGAGTGTCTCGTCTGCTAGAGCTGCGCGCCGCTCGCCTTGCGAGGCCGCCTCGTCTGGTTAGTATTCGTCTCTTGAGGCCCGTGCCCGCATTGGGGTCGTAACCTGTGAGCTTGTATTTACTGTTCCTTGTAGTAACCATACAGGTAAGGCGCAGATTGCTGGGCAGAAGCCGAGCAGGAGGGCACGGATGCTCAAAAGCCGAAGTGCCGTGCGGCGACGGCAGTGCCCTCCACAAGTGCATTACAGTGAGAATGGTTGGCTTAGATCTACTCTGTTCTATCCTACGATGTGCAGGCAGCCGCGCTTCGGGCCGCGACTCTGGCGAGTCAGCATGCATACTTCACAGGCAGCAGGAAGTTTCACATGTCGTCGACCTGGCCGCCGTCTATGAAGAAGGCGGTCGGTCTCCCCTCTATGGCGCGCAGCTCGTCTGCGAGCTCCTCCCTCACCCCCTCCATCTTGGATGTGTTGCTACTTCGAAACACAAATCCCCAATGTTATGCAAGTAATATCACTGGAACTCATATTAACCCCTCCAAACCGGATGCTGCGTAATGCAGCTTAGATTTGAAGGCTTAAACTGCATATATGCAGTGTGGAGAAGCAGGATCCAAGAAATTGGGACAAAGGGTGGTCGGCAGAATGATGGATCCAGACTCCGCGATGGATCCACCAGACTGGCGGATCGGGCCCCGTAGCAGAAGACACTACGAGTGCGACCAGACGTCACGAATGTGTGCCCAAGCAACGCCATGCCTCGAGACCCAAGATCCAAGAGATGCAGCTGTCAAGTGGATCGGCGATCCGATCCAATCCAGATCTGATTCTGATTCGGACTCAGATGGAACTGAGCGGTGGATCTAAGGTTATGGCTCGACGGAGGCAATCAAGCGAGACGCAGGAAAGGTAATCAAGCCCCAGAGTCAGTAGGTACAGATGTGATGCTAGAATCCATAGGAAGATAGGACTTTGGGATGGGATTGGACTTAAGCATAAATCAGTGTTGAAATTGCCTTGTACATCGCAAGTGCCTCCGCCTTCGCCTGGAAACGGGAAGTACATTGGCCCCACGGCTTAGCAAGGTTCTGGTAGTGGATCTAGCGTTGGTTAAGACTGGATAATACATTGGTCAGTTCTGCAACCTTCCTAGTGACTTACTTGCAAGTGCAGATCCCCGATCCACCCGGAGTTACTACTTGGCCTCAACTCTCAACATCTACGGATCCCGCTATAGGAAGCGGCAAGTACGGCAAAGGAAGACCTACGAAGGCAAAGGAAAGGAACAACAACAACCCAAAGGCAACCCCACGGCCGGATCCACATCCAGGCCGCCCGATCCAAGTCGACTACCACTGGATTGGGAATAACTACTGCGAGCAGAGTGAAGATTTCCGCGCTGCTCCACCCACATCCCCGCGTCTCGCCCAGACTGTTCTGTCTTCAAGGCTCGGAGCTTCAGCAGACACCAGAGGAGCAGATCCAGCCCTACCGACGGGTACACAAGGTGACCAGTTCAGCACACAGATCACGGATCATCGGGGGACCCCCTTCGTAAGTCGGTGTTCGGGCGCAGTTGGTAAGTTGGATTGGCAATCTCGCAGATTTTGCTGATCCCGCTACGCCACAGCAGTTTAAGCCAATTTTGAGTTGAAATTTGTATGACTGTCCTTTCCCCCGACACACCACTATACAAACGTCAAGATAAAATTACGTTTAGTTTCTGTTCGCGCCTTTTTATTTTTCCATATGTCAAAGACCAGCGTTTGTCGGAATATAATGTTTGGCAAGGGCGCGGGACCTTTTGAACAAAATCTACAAGGTATCGGACTGGGTGGCTCAGAGCGACTTCCATTTGCCGCTTTTCCAAAATCCGCCTCATTCGAGAATTTGAGCGGCCAGGGCTCAAGTTGGCAGAAGAATCAACAGAAATCACGGATGATCGTGCGAGACGAGTACGGGGCTAACGGTACGCTCATAGCGAACGAATGCTATACCTTATTGCTGACCTGTTTTATTTGGTACGTGTTGTCCTTCATGATAGCACGCTCCTGTGTGTGGTGCTTCTCTAGCGTTTGGTAAGTTTGGTCATTGGTAAGAGATGTCTGCGAGGTTCATGCGTGCTGACAAGACTTTGGATTACTCTTGGTCCAGTTGGTTTTGCTGCTTACAGGCAAGCGTCTGCTGCTGCAGCTGTACAAGCTGTTGGGCTCGGTCGCACTGCTCAACCCGCTGCATTCGTACCTGGCGTTCGAAGGCCTGGGGGAGAGGCCCACTCAGGATTCCGGCGCTCAAGGCTTCCGACATCTTTTCGCGTTGATGTAAGCGGCGAAGACGACGGCAGGAGTTTATGCGATATGGCATGCTCCAAACAATGGTATGTTGTATATCATGCTGTCCTGTATACTGCATTGTATGCATTTTATTATACGTATGTTGTATCGTAGTCTACATGAGCTAACCGGAGTAATATTGATGCTGTTGAAGGAGACTACGGCGACCAAGCAGTCATGATCAGCCCGAAACGAGCCCACCTGAGTGAAGACGACGACTCGAATGAGGTAGTAGCGAAACGAACGAGCCGAGACGAACTCCGGCCAAGCCGGTGATGCCGCTTTGGTGCTCATTGTATGACTGATGGGCGAACGAGCCGACACCTGGGCAGGGCGAGAGGTAGTAACGTGAACGTTTGCAAACTAATATAAGCGATTTGGATAAATGCAATTGCAGTCGATGCGATTCCCAGTATAGCGAGGCTTTGGATACCCACACACATAGTTGTAGATGCAACTTTGCCTTCACGGTATGGTTCAATTAGCGAAACGCCTTGTAATCGCTGCTTTCCTGTAGGTTGAATTGGCAAAGTCATGGTTTTGGCATCGATCAACCTAAGCAGCAGCTAATTGAAGTATTCAACTGTAGAACTTCTCGCACCCATGGAGAAACCCTGTGGTAACTACATCCGCTCATTATATACCTCAAGCATGAATGCAGGTGTAGCGCTTTAGTGTGTGTTGTTAGTTGGGAAGGGTCCAGGCAACGAACTACTTCGGTGTTGAAGTCAGTGAAATTTGACTTAGTGATCAAACTTGGTAATCCTTGCTGCTTTGTTGCTTCTACTACAGAATGACATGCTTCTGTCTGCAACGACACATCCTAACTTGCATCTTAGGTATTGTCTTATGTACACAATGGTAACGTTTCATTTGATTACCCCGTGGATATTTTTCTGGATGTCTATTTCATTTTATGTTTGTATACTGTAGTGCATAGAATGCCTCCGGACGTGCCACATGTTTACAGAACGCCTAGAGGTGACACCTACTTTGTATATAAGTTTTTGTATGGGAAGTTTTGAAATTCCGATTTTTCGAAAATCGGGACTCGCTAGGCCCTAGTTTCTGTTTGACGGGCACCCTGTCACTATCCGTGGTAAGTAGCATTATTCAGCATGGGTATGTTACACATATCGACGGAAGATATGGCCTGCAGACAGAGAAAGGCGTATGCACACCCATACAAAAGGCAGTGCTGTGTGCAAGCGATATGCGTTCGTACAGGCAAAAAATACATACCCATAGTAAAAGCCATATAGAATACGCGGGAAGATTTGTTGTTCATTTTCTCTGTCTGCAGGCCATATCTTCCGTCGATATGTGTACACTGGAGCCAATATGCAGGTTATTTTCAGTATTAGCACGGCCTTGTTGGCCCCCATCGTGCATCCTATCTTCCCTAACCATTTTTGTATACAAACATCAAGTCTAATTACGCTGCATATGCAGTTTACATGTTCTTTTCGGCTCCGGTCTGGAGGGGTTAAAAACATTTATTTTTTTTATAACGATACGAAAATCTAAACTTGTCTTTGGAGGATTGGTTGGGAATCTCAGGTTTTGGCAGATACCACGATGGGTTGTTGCAATAGCGAAAAGTTCAGCGTCTTGCTTCACAGCTCAGTCGTGATTTTCGTTTTATCATGTCTTCGGATCAACAGTCAGCGTTATAATAGCAGTGACGCCCCCAGCATCTCCCAGATCAATGGTACATGATAGAAGCAGGTCTACGCTTCCTAACACAAAAGTTGCTTCAGTGTTGCGTCATGACACCGTCGATCGTTTCAAGCGCGTGCTTCCACACGACGTCCTTGAGTTCGTCAGTGTGATATATGGTCTTGGGCATTTCCTGCGCGTCTTGGTTAATGAGGTGCCAGCCGGTCGTGAACTCGTCCTAGGTTACAGCTGAGACGATAGACTTGGCACACTGCTCGGGCGTACGAGCAGCCAGCAACGCTGCAACATTGTACAGAGAGCGGAGGTACCATGGCGAATCCTGGCGTCGCATGGATGAAGGAGGCGTCCGGGGCCCGCTCAGCGAAGGCCTGGGTCATCAAATCCCTATCCACAACGTGTGTCAACTCAACAGCACTAAGGTAACAGCAGCAACAGCGACGACGTACGAGTACATGGTTGTCGCCTCAGCGCAGCGCTTAATGGAGAAGGTGCGCTTGAGGTTCAGGTCGTTCAGATCAGGGGGGCTGCCTTGCACAGCGCCGAGCACGTTCAGAACGCGCACACTGGGGGATTCAGTCTGGCCAGCATATCGTGAACCAGCATGAACCTGAAACACACAGCTCCACACAGCGGTAAAGGGAGAAATTTCGTCATCTTAATACGATAGTATGGCCTCGAACCGTCCGTTGTAGTGCGTGCACATATTGACGTCGAGTCCTTCCTTCGTCTCGGTGCGGCCATTCATGGACAGCAGGCCGGGGGTGAGCACGATCCAGTCGAACTGCGTCGCTTCGTGTTTCGTCGTGAATCTGCGCACGTCGTGAAGTTGCGAAACGTCCAGCGGCTCGTGCGTCACCTGCACGCTTGGGTTCTTGTCCTTGATACTCACCAGCAGATCCGACGGACACGAACGCGAGCAGAGCGTAAGCTTGGCCACAAGCGGCGCCACCTCTTTGGCCACGGCCAGCCGAGGCTCCGACGACCAACGCGTGCTTGGAGGGCGCCACCATCTTTAATTGCGTCTAGTAGAGCGCAAAACGAGGAGTGATACGTCCCACACAACGAGTTGAGCAAGCAGCCCTTGGGGTAACCTACCGACCAAGTAAACAAGGGTCAAGTAATCAGAGACCACACGGATTCTGCTCTCATGATGTGATACCGCTGCCAGTTTTAGAAATTACTCCACCTCGGTCTCAAACTCACTCGTGCATTCGTTGCCTGCGGATTGCTGATCTTGTGTTGCATTCCACGTTAGTATCCTGAATAAATGCTGTTCTTGTCTGAGTTTGCTCAAATAAAAACTATAAACAACTGTGGGTGGTGTGGCTGCCAGCCTCCCACCGTCATCTCTGAGATGTGTGGTGTTGGTAAACTGAGCACCAGAAACGGTCGTTCGAAAGTGCATGCACTGGTGCATGATGCACCGCGCTTGAGCCTGTCTATTTGAGAAGAAATGCGACAGAGATCCTTGACGTAGGCTACATCGCAGGCTTATTAGAGACGGCGGCTACGTCACGAGTGTAGAGGGCCTGTTTCAAATTGTGGGATGGAGGCCCGAAGATAAACGCTTCTGAGTCAGCTCTCACTCCCATTTTCATCTCGATTGCGGAAGTCCAGTTGTCGAACACTAATAAATTCACGAGATCGCGTTGAGCTATTAGGAACATAACGGACATGACAGATGAAGCGGAGGAAGACAAGTTACCGGACTGGGCAGCAGAGTACTTCCACTAAGAGGGGATCCGTCGCGAGAATCAAAACTGGAAGAATCTACTCCAGCCGTCCGTCTTTGCCGCTTGCCTGGCTATCGCAGGGCGCATTATCCTGGGTCCCATCGCGATGCTTCTGTTGTTTACCGCCACCAAATACCTAAGCGACGGCACCGTCCTCATCAAGCCTGAAGACAGCTTTCTATCCTTCACAGAGCAGGATCTGTCGATGGCTGGAGGCTGCACCAACTGCATCAGCTCCTGCAAGATCAGTCTGCTCAAGTACGCCTTGTTCAAGGAGGCTGCGCTTACGAGTACCCCCAGATTTTCCGCGCTGGTGGGAAAATCCCCAATGGAGTCGTTGTATGATTTCAGCTCATTGAGCGCCGAAGCTCTCGCTCTCGGCGAATCGCTTGACAAAAACGAAGCCTTGTGTCAAAGCGGCATCAACGACTGGGGTGCGATCACCAGCATCTTGACGGGGACAGCGCAAGAAGTTTCCGACGTCATCACGGTGCTCAACATCGACAACGACCCGAGAACTTCAACTAGCAGTCGAACAGGCAGACAAGTGCGTGACCAACTGGAGTATGATGGGGATCACGCGGCTATTCTACTATCCCACGACGCTGGGCACTGCGGAATTCGGCAAGATCTCCGCTGCAACCATCAACTTTTATCCGGACTACACCGAGTGTCGACCTGACGTGGGGATCAACGACAACCTGACCGAATCGAAGTTGGTATTCGCAACCGACGGCGTGGACCCCCTCGCGATGGCGCCGGATGTGCTCAAGCTTTTCCCCTACAGCTTCACGAGCAGCTTGCCTACACATTCCCGCGTGGTTACAGCCTCAAACACCAAGTACGGTGTGGCTACAGTGCTTGAGCCCTATATGCACGCGTACTACGGCGGCTGTCGAGTGCGCGAAGTGAACACTACTGGAATCTACATCGAGAGTTCCTGTGAGGTCTCAAAGCACTGGGAAGCGTACGGTCTGATGGTGCAGGGTCCTGAAAATGTTCCGCTGTGCAGTACGGGCGGTGTATGCGTCCGCAACTACTACAATACGGAGTGGGAGTTGATCAGCACTGTTAGCACGGAGAACACCAACCGTTTATCCATCTACCTCAACACGGTTCGAACTCGCTACGCCGACACTGTCGCAATTAACATCCTGCCTGGAGTTGTGGTGACTCAGATACTGATCATGGGCGTGGTGAGTCTGTACCAAGTGATGTCACACAAGCGGTCAGTTTTGCTGACGCAGACATGGGCGTATCGCTGCCAGAACGGACGCATGCAAGTGGTTTACCTCGCACAGATTATCTATCACCTCGTGTACAACTCGGATTTGTATTGGCTGGGGCTCGCCACGGGCACGTTGACTCTGGAATCCATCGCGAATCTTTCGTGTTGCTTCTTCGCCTTCTCGTACTCCTGTGTCAACCTGCTCAAAGCGCGCCCCGGGGATCAGCAATTGGATCGGAATTTTCGTTTAACGTGGGAGGCCATGCAGCTCGTGCTCACCGCCGCTATGGTGGCTCTTGAAGTCCGTGCAGCACACGCCGCTGGTTTCTATCATCGAGGAGAACGCCCAAATTCTACGCAAGTCGTCAACGTCTGATACAAAGTATTGTGGACTCAACGATTCGTGTATTCTGTTCACAGTCAACATGATAACCATTGCCATAATGGCATCGGTGGGCGTGGGGGTTGTGGCACTGATCGTCTCGAACTTGCGAATAAAATGAGTCCAAGAGCGAGGGATACCGCGTATTTAGCCCGCAAAGTGAGTTCGGCTCGAGTGATACTGAGTGTTCCCCGAGGACGCGATGCTGGAAAGGTGTTAAGCCAAGAGTTTGGTACAGTTGAAGGGCAGCAGCTCACATCGTTCGAGCAGAATTGCCTCGGTTCTTTGTTCACGAAGCTCTTCCACGACTGCGACGATATCGCTTACGTCACATATAATGACCAACGCTGCAACTCGTGGTCGCGAGGGTGGTGCCACCGAAGATTCTCCGGACGTTCAATGTCCTCCTGCGCTGGGGCATGGACCCGAGCACGGGTGTTCTGACACACGCGCAATCTTGCACATGGTAAACTGCAAGCGACGAAGACCACAAACTGGCGGCGGTTGTGCCTGTGGCCTAGATACTAAAATTCATGCATAGCAAAGTTATAACACAATTCATGCTTTATTGTTTTCATGTCGGGGCTGAATGATCATCCCAGGGTATCGAAGCGGTTAGAAATTTTACGTTCGAGGTGACCGAGTATTGGCAGCGATCATACACTCGTGTCTGCGTTGCAGCAGTTGTTGTGTGAATAGCGCCAACGTCTCTCGCTCTCTCTTAAGTGCAGCTCGAATACGTCGTACAGGCACGCGGGACTCGTCCACAAGGCGAGTGAGTTCCGGTATCTCCTCCATTACATCCTCTTCGTCTTCTCCATTGCACCCTCCATCTTCATCAGTGTTCACCTGTTCTTCGAGTTCCCCCGTACTGCTGGAAACTGCGCTGGTTACACTACTCCAAGCTCCTCGCGTCTTCCAAATATTGTATGCAGCGCCCCCATGCAGACGTCGGGATAGAATTTGCCGCTGCCACGAGAGGGATTTGGTCCAGATCATCTCCGCTCTATTCTCCATGTCCTTCTCTTCCGAGTCGCTGAAGCAGCACAGCGACAACGCCTTGGTCAGACTACCCCCATCCGACACTACAGCCTTATCACCAGCCACGCTCTTGCCGTTCATGTCCGTAGTGCCGTCAAAGTCACGCAGCGTAGCACAAATGAGCTCTACCGGTTCCCCCTGCTGGACTCTCATGGCTCGTATGGCGCCAAGAACTACCCGAGCGTCGACGGAGTCGCGCAGTTCCCAGTCGTAAGATGAGAACAAGCGGTTGACGTATTTCAGATCACACGACGGGAATTCCCTCGTCACTAGGAGCGTGAACTGCGCGCGAGAGAGCATACAAGTGCCCAGTGCATTGAGAGCCCCCAACTCTCGAGCCAAAGCGAACAATTTCTCCATATCCTGCAGCACCGGTCGTCGACAGGGAGTCCGGCGCATTGCGTCCAGCAATTTAGCGAACGAGCGCCATCGAAGCGGGAACCTCTTCTTCTTGAGCTCGTTAGACTCTTGACTCCGTTGCTTCTCGGGTGAATACCCCGGGGTCTGCACAATAGCTGAGACCTGTGTACGTCGATGACGGAGCTGTGGATCACTTTCCTGCTGCTTTCGATGCGCTGCTAGCTCCGACGAAGGCTGGAAATGCAGCGTTCGGCTTTGCCATTCAGTTATGTCTCGCTGGTTTTGCGCTTGTGTCTCCAAGGCGATCCGTTTCTCTTGTTTGTAGAGAGTTTGCAGCTTTTGTGTTGACTTTTGTTGGAGCTTTTCCTGTACTGATGAATGGAGTTGACATGGCTCGTTATCTACGCTGAGGATTTCAACAGAAACTGCGATTGGAGATGAAGGACAGCGCGTCATCCTCACGGGTAGACGGGATCCAGTCGGGTGAAATGCTTCGGGTGGCCAGAGCGACGGCGAACCACTAAGCCCCGACACGAACTCGTCAACAGGAACGATGGGGTGGTTAGGAGACAAGGGCTCTAGCGCTTCCTGAGACCTCCAGCCGTGCTGCAACTTCGCTGTACCTCGCGCCCCGTAGCGGCGCAGTTTAGCGTCCAATGTGATGCCCAAAGGGATCTGCTCTTTTAAAGTGGCGGCGGGACTGCAGCCGTACCATGGCTTCGCCGGCTTGACCGTCGACGTAACAATTGAGATGGGAGATCTGGATACGCCATCGCTGATGGACTTTATAGGGGACGCTAACACCATTCGACAAGCTGAAGATTCGCCATCGCTCTCGTCGTTTTCGTCGCCTTCTCCAATTGTACTCGCTACTCTCGTCTTCGACTGAATTTCGCAGTCTTCTGAGTCTTCTGCCTCAATACGATGCCGAGTCAGTGCAGCGTCTTTCGCCCGAGCGCGTAGAAATTTATTTTCTGTTGAAGTTGTGTACAGTGACGCAAGCTGATGAGAGCGCTGCAACGCGCGCCCTCGCGTTTCAGGGTCGCCTTCCCGCTCCTGCAGCGCTTCCTCCTCTGCGTCGCGTAGTGCTCCTCTCAGAATGTGCTCGACACGCTCGTTGACCGTCTCTTTTCGTCGCCGTCGAGTAGCACCGATGGTAAGAGGGTCAATCGGTGACTTGGCTCGGATCGGGCTCATCGCGAATGCAGAAGGGGCCATGGATGGGGGTTCTCACTCGCTCGTGTCGAGGCCTTCAGTGGGTTTGAAGTGCTTTGTGTGTCCAGAGTAGTTCGCTATTTCGAGTCCTCGTCTAAGTTTGAGGCAGGCTATAAACAATGGTGAGCTTGTCGCGAGTCGCTTTGTCGAACCGGTTTGGGGCCGGCCGCCGCTGTATTGGAGTAGTAAGTGCTGCCTGTGCTTATAGGTTTATGGGGCACAAATAGCAAGGAGATCACTAAGCAAAATGCAATAAGTGTTCCTTACGACCTGTGTGGTCCTTTTAAGCAATATTCACGACTGACCTTCCTTCTACTCCTAACTCTTCCTCTCTACCTCTGCAGATCCTTGCGTTTCAGTTCCTTCGGGTGACCCCGTTCCCGCTCACCCCTCCCAAAGACTTGATCCGTTCACCTTGACGGCCCTCAAAGTCGCCCAACATGCCATCCGTCCCCGAAGTCCCGCCACGACACTGCGAGGCACATCATCCCTCCAAGATACCTCTGGGTAGCGGCCCACGGGTCTCCACCTTCGAGACAACCTGGTCCACGGCCCACTACTTCTCGCCCGCGGCCACAGCAGGGGGACGACCTCAGGCCCTCATCGTCGCCCACGCAGAGTTGGAACGGTCCGAGCCGTTCCGACTCGGGACATCCTCCCCGACTGCATCTCGGCGTCCTCGCCGAGCGCACGCAGCTTGATCCACTTCTCTCCTTACTTGCCAGGCCCTCCGTTCGGCCTGCAATCCACTTCGCGTCCGCACCTGCACTCTCGGCGCATTGCCCCCGCCGTCCATCCTCCAAAATGCCTCACTTAGACGCTCAGCCTGCTCCTGCTCCTCGAGAGCCGCGCACCACGCAGCGTAGCCCTCCGTGGCCATAGTCAGCGGCGAACGCTCGCCCGCCGACGCCTCGTACAACCTCCACAACTTACTGGTTATGCATACCAGCGCAACCCAAACATTCACCACCAGCAACCAGTAGTTTGTCACTAGTGCATGCTCGCCCTCCTCGGAGGCGAACCAGCAATCAAAGACCACGACTACAGCGAACAAGCCGGCCACGCCCTGGCAGATCCACTCGACGACTTCGTAGGTGAACCGCGCGGCGTAGAACGCCGAGAACAGGATCAGGGACGTCAGCGTCCATACCACCTTGGCGACAAGCTTGGCACGGGCGACCGAACGGCCAGACTCTAGACTCGCGCCCGTGCAGTACTTGGAGCACGCCTTCCGTCCCGACGCCCAAGTCTCAGGCAAGAAGACGCACCACCACTCGTGGAGGGCGTCAAGCCACTTGTAGAGCAACCTTCCCAGCCCGTCTTCATGCTCTCCCTTGGACTCCAGCACAACCAACGGGGTGGCCAGCAGGGTCTCGTAACCCTTCCACACGCGAGTTCGGAGCGGCTGCATTTGCACGGCAGGCCCACGGACATACCTGCAGTAGCGCATGACGCATAACTTGGCCAGCACGCTCCACTTCAGGGCGAAGTCGATGAACGCAGCGGCGATCCGTGAGCCGATGCTTCGCAGGGGGCCCGTAACCGTCCACGACACTGCTCCAGCAGGGAGCCACGCCAGCTCCCAGCGACGCTCCACTGCAACTTGACAAGCTGCCTCAGCAGCGACCACCACTATTGCCGCCAGGCCGTTCACCACGTCCGTCGCCCACTCCATCGTTCCAGCAGCACTAATTCATAATGACGGCCACTTCGACGCCGTCCGGACCGTCCGCGCGCGCCACTAGCGGCAGCCCTTGGCGGTCACCATCGACCTGCAGAGGCGCAGGGCAGCCAAGGCCCCGTTACTGCCAGTGGTCACCAGCGTCGCTCGCGGGTTCTTCGAAAGTGACCAGCCAGTTGGGCGTCTCTTTCAGACGGTCGCAGCCATCCACAAGGTGAGTCACATTTCGTCAATTTACTTGAAGTCACGTGGTAATCAGAAGTTGCCGTAGCCGCCCCACTGAAAGTTGCCTCATTCCACAATTTTCACCGGGCCGCGCACTCCGCAGTCACCAAGCATCTCTCCGCTCTCTCCCAGGCCTCGCCTCGCCTCGCGTCCGTCATGGTCAAGAAGACCAACTCCGACGTCACCGACTTCGACAACCAGGTGGGCAGCCTGGACATGGCCCTCGAGCTCGACGACGAGGGGGACGTCTTCATCGCGCAGCGCGAGTTTTGGGCGCGCCTCCGGACCCGTCTCTCCGTCGACAATGCGTCCCAGGGGCTAGACGTCCTGGACGCCATGGCCATGGACGTCCTGTCGGGTGGCGACGCACGCCGCCTGAACCAGATCCTCGTGATCCTGCCGCACCCCGACCAGATGCAGGCCGGCGAGCCTGCCGAGCACTCCGTCCTGTCGATCCCGCTGCCGCCGTTGGTGCCCACGCCAGAGTCGACGTCACCGCCACCGCGTCCATCGACAGGGGGCAGATCGTCGCCACGGACGTCTTCCAAGACGAGACCGCCATCGAAGAAGAAACAGAAGGCCGCGGCCAAGAAGAAGGCCGAGGCCTACGACTTCCGGTTGCCGACGACGGCGCCCGCGCGACTGAAGATCGACCTGGCCGCACTTGCGCAGCGCGCCTTCAGCAAGGGCCTCGTTCCGTTCCGCTTGGCGTACCCCTGACGCAAACAGCGGTGCTGGTACCCGCCATCCGAGTATCCCGAGTTGCACCTCGTCCACTACCGTGCCAACATGCGCTTCCGCGAGCTGTTTTTCCTGTGGGCGCTGTACGCGCCTTGTCGGAATGCCGACCAGCGGCGCAAGGAGAAAATGAATGCGTGCCGAGCGCGGAACGAGCTCATTAGCTACAACATTGAGGAGCGAGGGTACTTCGGCTTTCTCGACGACTTCGAGAACGGTGCTCATGACACGCTCATGTGGTTGGGAGGCAGAGCGGCCAAGCACTCTACCGGCGCGGCTAAGAGCAAGGGCGCGGCGCACGAGGACCTCGGCGTTGTCTTCGCAAAGGACAAGATTCTCTACGAGCGGGCCATCGAGCGAGCTCTCGACCCCAACATCGTCGACGAACACGGCTACGCCTCGATTCCGGAGCTCCTCGTGGAGGCGGAGCTCATCGACCCCACGCGAGCGCCACACCTGCGACTCTCCGACAAGGCTCTCGCTCGCATCAAGCTCGACGTCACCAGCGGGCCACCCCCCGTGCCTTCTTGGGTTGGCAACCGAACCCGCGGCCCGTGGAAGGCCCTCTTGTCGGACGCGTCGCTCAAAGACACCATCGAGGAGGTGGTCGAGCTCGTGGACTTGGGCATGAAGGTGGCCGTGTACGACCAGAAGCCCTTCAACCCCGACGAGCAGGGCGACGATGACTCGGACTTCGAGATCGAGGACGGAGCCTTCACGGCGTTGCCTCCGACGCCCCCGGTGCAGTACCGGGCTCCCGCCGTCAAATAGCGAGCTACCACTCCGTCCAAGCCAGGAGTTCCGGTTTCTCGCTCCAGCAAGTCAGGCGAGTCCGAAGACTCCAGCGACGACAAGAAGAAGCCGGCAGCCAAGGACGACAGCGACAAGGACGACAAGGCCCAACCCAAGACCACCAAGGCCCCCGTCGCGGCCAAAGAGACCCTGCCGGGCGACGAAGCAGACGACGACGGCGAGGTAGCGAGCGAGCCTCCGACCAAGATGCTCAAGTCGCGTTCCGCAAGCGTCGACAAGGCCAAGTGAGTCATGCGCACACCTCGGATCTCCGTTTATCTTCTTCATTTCGTTGTAGTCGAGTCTAGTGCAGCCGCAGCACTAATTTTGCAGGTAAAACCAAATAAAAACATGAACTTGACATGCGTATCCACCATTCTTGAGCTGCTCGTAAATCCATATCCACAATCACAGGTTCTTCAGCTCAAGAACATCACCAACTACGCCAGCAGCAAATAGTCATCATCGACTTGGGCGTTAGCGTCCGCCAAACGCGCACTTCGACGAAGCTCCGGCAACCCCTTCTTCCTCATATCCGCTTGCTCAAAAGCGGTCACCAACGACGCATACTCGGGCATCAAAACCTCCCTGGGCAGCCAGAACACCTCATACGAGCTGGTCATCGTCAGGTACTTCACGCCCTGACCGTCCTTCATCTTCGCCACTATTTCCACGATGGGGGCTTCCACGCCCACAATAACAGTGTCCTCATTTCCTAGTGTCAACCGTTCCGCGTAGCTCGACGCAGGGAGGTCGGCCTCTTCCAACGGCCCCTCTTCTTCGTTTTCATCACTAGTGCCCAGACCCTCGGGCGCTTCATCCATATAAGGCCGGGTCCACTTGCCACGATACCTTTTGAGCCTATTCACGTTCACGGTCACCGTTTTGTTAGGGTGAGTCGGGATGTCGACCCGATAAGCGTTCTCGCCGACCTTGGCTACGATCCGATAGGGACCGTGCCAAGCGAAGGCAAGCTTCTTCGTGCGCACTTCGCCGCGTTTCGCCCTGAACACCTGGTAGACCCACACCGGGTCTCCTATTTCATAATTCACTTCGACTTGCCCTTCCAGGCGCTGCTCGTGCCGATCTTGCGCCTTCAACAACTGACGCTTAACCAAATGTCGCGAGGAACGGCGAGAGCCGTACAGCTCTCGCCTATACTGAGCCAATTCATCACTCCGCCACTTCTTGCCAAGATTGAGTAACGCCACGTCCATCGGAAGCACTGGGTCGCGCCCGTACAGCGAGAAAAACGGCGAATCTCCCAGGGCCTCGTGGTAGGCCGTCCTGTAGGCAAAAAGCACTCTAGGAAGATAAGTGTCCCAATCATCTTGAGCCTCACTCACATGCATTCGTAGCATTCCTATGAGCGTTCCGTTGAATCTTCTTGACGAGTCCTTGAGTCTGAGGGTGGTAGGCAGCACCAACGAGTTTCTTAATGCCCAACGTCTGATAGAAGAACTTGGCCACCTCAGACGCGAAGTTCGAGCCGTTGTCGCTCAGCAACCACGACGGCACTCCGTGCCGAGACACCACTCCGTTCACCGTCACCTCCACGAACGTCATG